TGCTGGATGCAGTGAGGAACCTGCATGCTGAGCAGGCAGGGACCAGACATGCCGCATGTTGTGGCAGTGTAAGAACCTGGGGCCTGGTGTGCTGTCTCTTGGGTCATGCATGGTTACACGCACCTTCAAGCTTGTGAAGAGTCTGTAATGGGTGTCCACTGATGTTCTTTGTGTGGGGGAAGAACTTGAGCAGAAGGACCTGGACAAATGCAAGGTGAGAGGTTTTCTTGTTCTGGGCAAGACTCTGTTTCCAGATAACTTGTCTAAAACTTTTGTGCTAAGGAGGGAAGAGCATCCGTGTCACTCCGCTGATGTGCTGTTAGCTTGTTCTGCTAAAGCACAAGTACTTGGTCAGAGGACAGCTAAATGGTGGCAGAGCTCTTTCTGTCAACTACAGCTGTCAGGAATAAACACAGTGGATGATCCATGTGGTGCTTTGCTTAAAGTCTCATTAAAGGCATTAAAGCATCATTTGTCATCAGCAGAATGGGAAGGTGGTTTATTTACCCAGAGCCCTTCCCTGAGCTGTCAGCATCTGTAAGCCCAGCTCCTTAGGGCTCATCTTCACATCCATCTCTTCTAAAATGGGCTTTGTCAATGCTACCAGGAAGATCCAATTCTGAAATGGCCCTGAATGATAGCACAGGGCAAGAAGCTGCATGGTCCTGAGCAGGTGCTGGAAGTCTGAAATTGCAAATCTAACCAGCACATGGAAGAATAAAAGCTGTTCCTGGGGCTGGTTGGGCATCCTGCTGTTGGGGTGCCTTACCCAAGGTGTGTGCTATGAACTGCAGCTTGCACTGATAGTGTGGCTAAATTTGTGGTGAACAAGGATGCGGAGCTGTTGTAGTGAGCCCAAAAGACGCCATGGAGCTGCTGCGGGGGCTGGAGCAGCTCTGCTCTGGAGCCAGGCTGAGAGAGCTGGGCTGGGGCAGCTTGGACAAGAGAAGGCTCTTTAAGGGGAGACCTTAAAGCAGCTCCAGTGCCTAAAGGGGCTCCAGGAAACCTGGAGAGGGGCTTTGGACAAGGGCCTGTAGGGACAGGACAAGGGCAATGGCTTGAACCTGCCAGAGGGGAGATTGAGCTGAGCTCTGAGGCAGAAGCTCTTACCTATGAGGGTGCTGAGGTGCTGGCACAGGGTGCCCAGAGAAGCTGTGGCTGCCCCATCCCTGGCAGTGTTCAAGGCCAGGTTGGACACAGTTGCTTGGAGCAACCTGCTCTAGTGGAAGGTGTCCCTCCCCGTGGCAGGGGGTTGGGACTGGGTGAGCTTTAAGGTCCCTTCCAACCCAAACCAGTCTGTGCTTCTGTGAACACAGTAGCTCAGTGGTTGGTTACTGGATTTAAAAGATAACTTGTGGTCTGCAGGACAGAGTTGGCCTGAAGAGTGAAAACAAGCCACGCTGTGTAGCCCATGCTGTGGCTCAGTGTATCTGTGTACTGCAGTGTGAAGTGTCTGGCTTGGGTTGTGATGGGTCCAAGATGCTTGCATGTGCTCCATTTGGTATGTTTAGAGGCCCTGGGATAATGCAGGAATGAAGAGCACACATTGCATCAGCTCTGTGCTGATATTTGAGCTTTCCCTAGTAAATGCTGAGGAGGAAGAGTGGTTTGTGGAGCTCTGTGGGAGTGACCTGCGTGCCTGCGAGCTGGACCAGTGCCATGCTGGGATCGAGCCTGCTCCACAGAGCTCTTAAATCTGTCAGCATTTGGCTGACGTGCTCCAAGATGGAGCACACTGGCTCTAAATCCAGGCATTAAAGCTGCAGCAGTGAGGCAAAAGTCAGAGCTGAGTTTCTATTAAAAGCTGTCTCTTCTGCTGTCCCCTGCAAAGGAGCGTTGGCATGTGCCTCCCTTGCAGCTCTGGGTGGAGGCAGGGAAGGTTCCAGAAGCTCTCTGCAATCAGCTGTGCTCTGGCTGCTGTGGGAGTGCCCGAACGGGAACAGTGGTGACCCTTCACTGAAAACTTCTTTCCCCCCGAGATGTGGAAAGTACTTTGTTTGCACTGAAGGGTTTGTTTTTAGTCTGATGTTTGCTGCTTCACTCAGAGCTTCAGGGATGCTTTTGACACCAGAAATTGCTGATGCATCTTGTGTGTGCACTGGGAATGGTTTTTCCTCTTGGAGCTGTCTGCTTGGGAGGGGAGACAAGGCCAACTTCCCTGCAAGAGCTGTGGCTTTATTAACCAGCCCTGATGCCTTGAGGGCTTGTTTTAGGTGGGCAACTTTGAGAGGCTCTTGTCCCCCAGCCCATGGGGATTCCATGGGTTAAAGCTGGATGCCTTTGGGCTGGGGGTTGATGAGAACTAAGATCTGTCTTCTCCTACAGGTGTTTCCGAGGCTGCCTTCGAAGCCAGGCTTCAAGGACCTTGCTGAGCAAGTGGAGAGGAGGAAACTTGAGTGTAGCTCATGGCTTTTCCTCCTAGTGTCCCTGTGAGTGGCTGAAGGTGTTGAGTGAAGCAGGGTCAGACCCACTGGGGTGATGTGGGGTCTCCATGAGCTCTGTGACCGAGTGTCTGTGCACATCCTCCTGGTGTGGATGAGGTCCATCTGCATTAACAGCAGGATGTGAGGTTAGGAGTGGGTCAGTTGTAGCTGGCAGGTTTTTGCTTGGTGCTGAAACTAGGATGCCCAGACAGCAGATCCCTTCAAAGGCCAGCAGTCCTGCTGCTTGAATGCACTCGTACTGGCCTTACTGGTTTTCTAGGTGCGAACTGTGCAATACTGGGAGCAAATGTGTAAGTGGTGGCTGTAGCAAGCCAGAGTGGTGGCAGAGGTGAGGGTGGAATCAGTGGTGCAAAGCACATGGACCCTGTAATGCCTTTGGGAGCTTCCATTGAGCCCCTGAGCCCTTGCTGATGCATCCCCACATCCCAGATGGAGTTCTGGTCCTGTATCTCTGATAACCAGGAGGTGGGGTGCAGGACAGCATTGCCTGGTAGTACTCTGCATGGCATTCCCTTCTCCAGGTCTGGAAATGTTGCGTGCACAGGGTCAGCACAGGGTGTTACAAACCCACTGTGCTCAGTGGCTGAGGAGGAAGTCAGTGCTGGAGCGTGTGTTGGCAGTGAAGTCTGGGCTGTGGGATCAGCTGCTGTGCTTTGACTCTTGTGCTGTTTAGTGACTAATCAGATTTTTAAGGCTGTTTCACACATTCATCTGTCTCCCTTGAACAATGCACTGGCTGTATTTTTAAACAAATCACGTGGCTTCAGGGAAGTGGCCAAACCAGCGTAGAGCAGCTTGCCTGGGCTGGGAGATGCTCTGCCCTGGGCTGGGACTGGGAGGGGAGGAAAGGAAAGGAGCAGCCTCCTCCTCAGCTCCAGCTGCTGCTGCAGTGTTCCCTCCGCTGCCCACCACTACTGGTGGGGCTGCTGCCCCAGCTCTGCCCAGGGTGAGTACCACTGCCCAGCAAGGTGTTCTGTGGCACAGGGCTGGCTGTAAGCACAGGGGCTGCTGCTGGGAGAGCCAAGCGGATGCGCAGAGGGCAGGAGGTCCCTTCAGAGAGTGGTCAGAGGTGCGTTCGTCATCCTGTTCAGTAGCCAGAATGCATCTGCACCTCCATTGAGAGAACTCACAGGGATAAGGCTCTGTGTAACTGGGGAGATGCTGTGACTGTTGTTCCTGCAGCTCAGCCTTGGGTTGAGGTGTATGCTTCAAGTAAAGGATCCACCTCTACCTCTGTGGTTTTCTGATGTCTTGTGAGGCTGGAGATGCCGGCTTCCCAGCAGGTGTGCCACTGGTTAATGTGGCTTGGGATAGGTCTGTCCCAGCAGCTGGCTTTGGGTGTGTGTGACAGCTTTCTCTGGTGCTGGTGTGTGGCAGAACAGTTGAGCATGGTGACATTTTTTTACTCACCTGGTTTGGGCAGTGCTTTGGATTATTAATGCTCTTATGCACAAGAGCTGTTGGAAACCTTGTGGTCCTAGCTGGTTGAGCTCAGGTGGGGCTGGAGGATATCAAGTGGATCCCAAACTTGCTTTGCTGAAAACTGGAAGCTACAGGGCGAGCTGCCTTGTTTTGCAGCCTCTGAATAATTAAAACCATTTCTGAATGCTTTGCTCTTCCCATTTGGTTTGGGGACACATTCAGCTTGCTGAGACTTGCTCCTTTTGAATAGAGCTGGCTGCTGTCATGCCCCTGTGGGATGCAGTGTGGCTGAGCCTGCCCTGTGTTCCCTTCTGGGTGGCAGCTGGCCCCACACGACTACCTCATGGAGCAGGGTGGGACTTTGACCCCTTGGTGTGCACTGGGGCAGCTCTATTTGTAGGAATTTGCTTGCTTTAGTTCCTCAGTGGGAGGAAGAGCTGCTGCGTGAGGGAGGCAGCCTTTGGGGCAGAGGCCCACTTGTAAGTGTACTGAGGACGGTGCTGCTGCTGACCAGGCAGTGTGTCCTTTGTCTGCAGGCCAGGCTGGCATGCTCCTGTCTGCCAGGTGCAGCTCCTGGTGGGGTTGGGGTGTGGTGGCCCACTCTGAGCCTCCATATGCATGCTCACAGGCCAGGCCTTGCTCCTCTCAGCCTGCCCAGCCGTGTGCACAGCAGAGACTGGCCATGGGCCTGCTCTGTGCCCCCCTTGCTACAGCTGCATGGGCATCTGCACCGCTGGGGCCCAACCTGCTCCCCTAACAACACAGACTTGGTGGAGTGGCCTGTGTGGAGCCACCTGCATGAGGTCCATAATGAGGACACAGAGGCAACCATTCTCTTCCCAGATGAAGTGGGATCTTCTGGCTGATCTCAGCCTTGGGAGAGTAACCCATGCCTATGTCTGTCACCATACTGGGCTGCTGATGTTGGCTCCAACTGTGCAGCACTGTGCTGCAGCTGATAGCAAAGAGTGCAGCCTGGATGGAGCTGTGTGGAGGGCTGGTTCCTGCCACATGTGCTGCTGGCTGTGGTCTGAGGGGAGCCCAGAGCTCTCCTGGGCTGCTGCCACGGGAGCTGGGAGGGAAGGAAGGACGTGTGTCATGCTGCAGTGCTGATGGGCTGTGTCTCTGTTGCAGTTCTCAGCATGCTGAGTAACCCTCTGGGGAACGTCCTGGGGAAGCCCCCGCTGGGTTTCCTGCCTCTGGACCCCATTGGCTCTGACCTGTCAGAAAAGTTTTCCACACCAACGCTGAGAAACTCCCGCCTGGATTCCCGCTCTCTCCTGGACTCCCGCTCCAGCAGCCCCTCGGACTCGGACACCAGTGGCTTCAGCTCTGGCTCTGACCACCTCTCAGACTTGATTGTAAGTTTGGGTCTTGCACCCACTCTCTGGTTCCTGGTGTCTTGTCATGTTTCTGGGGAGCACGGGAGAGCTGGGGGGGCTGTAGGGCACAGCCATGCCTGGTCAGGAGGGGACAGGAGTACTGCAGGGAGCTGTCATGCCCACACAGACACAGCAAGCTTCTCCTGCAGCCCTGGGTTTGGAAGAAGGGCTGCTCATACAGTCCTCCTGCAGCACAAACTAGCAATATCCTTATATATTTTTGGTTTGAGTAACGTTTTGGCCTTTTATCTTTGTGCTTGCAGCCCCAAGGGGTTGAAGCAGCTCCCAGAGGGGTCTGAGTGCTTGAGCTTGTGTGTGGCAGTGGGTTGTCTGTGCCCTGGTCCCAGCAGGCAGGTGGTTGATCAGCACAGATGCCTCCAGGCTCCAGCTTGGGCTTCTCAGGAGCTCCTGTCCCTGCCTTTCATTGTCCTTCCCATTTGCTGACTGTACTTCATCTCAGAGCTGCTGCTTCTAGAGCTAACTGGGTCTAGCCTGCTCTCATTCCCTACAGCACAGCTAAATTTGGAAGCTCGCGAGTGTCTGTGTTGCTGCCCCAGTCTTTGTTGCTGGGTCTGTGTCGCAGTGGGACAGCCTGGCTCCATCCAGCTCTGGCTGCTGCTGCAGGGCTCGTCCTCAGGACCTGAGGCCACAGGCAGGGATGAGCTGCTCCTGGCTCTGCTGTGGTGCAGCTGTGGCCTTGACCCCCACGTTGGGGTGGGCAGGAAAGACATGGTTGGCTTCATGTGGAGTGGGTTCTCCTGGAGGGTTAGGGTCTGGAGCAGGGTGCTGTGAGCAGCTGCAGCCCCTAGGCTGCAATGTCAGGCAGTGTGGGGCAGCAGAGCTTTGTGCTGGCCTTGTCCATAAGGTCAGGTCTCCCTCACCATGGGTTGGGTGGGAAATGGCTTTACCTTAGGCCCTTCTCAGGGAAACTGTAGTCCCATCAGGCTGCTGGGACAGTGAGGGGGCTGCTTTCCTGCTGCTGCCACATCTCAAAGGGTCTCTGGTGAACAGGAGTCACTAAGAGCTTGTTCTGCAGGTGAGGGCAGGGCCTAGTGTGGCACATGTCCACCAGTATTACGTGCTGTTACTCAAAGCTGGGTCTTAATGTGGACTTTCTCTTGCAGTCAAGCCTTCGGATCTCCCCCCCTCTGCCCTTTCTGCCCCTCAGTGGGGTGTCAAGAGACCCCCTAAAGATGGGAGTAGGGTCCCAGATGGATCAAGATCAAGCTGCCCTGGCTGCAGTAACTTCCTCCCCTGCCAGTGCATCAAAAAGATGGCCTGGAGCATCGGCGTGGCCTTCCTGGGATCTTCTGGACTCTCCAGAAGATCCCTTCAGTATTGAAAGAGAAGCTAGGCTTCACAGGCAAGCAGCAGGTAAGTTGTATGGTGGGTTTCAGCAGGCTTCAGTGCAGTTGACTCCTGCTGGTGAAGCTCAGCTTCACCCACCGCCGT